GTCCCTGCTAAAAGATCAAAGGCAAGCATATATTCCCTTTTATTCAAGCTTAGAAATGTTTTATATAAGGAAAGGAAAATATTTTCATATATGAATGACCTGATTACCTCAAAAGAAACTAAATTAAAAGATCCAATATACTAAAAAAAATACTGCATAGAAATTACAAGAGGAATGCAATTATTTATGCAATATCTTGGTTCTGTCTTTTCCCTTGGTATTTGTCACCAGTCTGAATCTTTTAGCTTTAATGTTCTATAATAAGGAATAAAATTCACACAGCTTGCAGATTTTTTACCTTCACATGTGTCTGTCTCAGTGCTGAACACATAACCCTTTGGACAAGTGCAGCTGTAACTCCCAGGAGTGTTTCGACAGAGTCCGTTATCACACAGCAGCCCATTCACTGAACATTCATCAATGTCTGCAAAAAGACGAGTTAGATACACCAGTGAGTGCAGATGCCTTGACACACCTTCACCTCCACAAATCGCTCCTGTTGCTTCCTACAGCAACAAATAGGTTGCTGGATATGCACTTTTCTACAACAGTGACTTTGCAAGGAAAAATGTTAATTCTCTTTCAAAAGTTTAATTAATTTTCATATTCTGTTACAAAAAATGATGTTGTGCTTTTAAAGTTTTTAATTAGCAAGTCTAAAAACCGTTCATGGTTAGTACTAAAATAATAATTATGTTCTCCTGGAATGACTTTGGGATCTTTGTCAATTATATGACTATATCACAAAGGTCTATTTGCTTTGAAATCAGCATTTTATTTTAATTTTTTTTAACACACAAATAAAGATGTGTTAGATTGCTGTCCAAATCCTGTTTTATGGGCAAAAATTGAATTTGTTATCCATGAAACAAATTATGTGCACTAAAATCTAAACTGTACAGTTCATGTATGACAGACATCTCAAGAGTACACATATGTACCTCCCCTCCAGAGGTATATTGTACTAAAAAAACCCCTTATAATTAACACCAGGATATCAAGCACACTGAACAGGAAAAACCCATAAATTAACATCACTTCCTCAACTCCTCTTATATTGACTCCAAATAATGCTAATTTTAAGCTACGTTCCCTTAATGCCCATCACATGTCACAAATACTAAAGTTTATAGAAGAATACTGACAGGATAAGCCATGATAAACATGTCACTTTATTCTGCTTCAGGGTATCTCTATATTTTGACTTCTGGATTTCCGAAACTTAACACTGCAACTGAAATCTTAAATCAGCTAGATTTTTTAGAGACTTTAAAAATAAAGAATAAAACAAAGAATGCAATATAATTACATTTGGAGGCTTTTGGTTTCCCGACTACATTAAATTTTGCAAGCTATGCTTATAAATTCCTTCAGGATTCAGACAATAAAGTCTAAATTTCTCCAGATGATGAATCTAAGATTTAAGTTTGGCAGCTGTAAAGAAGCTCTTCTAAACTAACCTGTTCTTAATCTAACTTAATCTGATTTTACCTAAGTAAAGGAGGATGGATTTGGAATTTGACATTTTCAAGAGTAATAGAGTTTTATTTGGAGCTTGTCACACAATTCTTCAACCCCACCTAGCAGTGTTATGAACGTATTATTTCTTTAGAATCTCACAGAATAACTTCAGATTTGGACCGTAACCTATTGTTATACACACTATAAAAACACAGAACAATATAGCTCATGCTCTAAAAACTCTTACAGCTGAAAAAAATACTGTGTGCATTCTACATGATGATGATTTATTTCCTGGCAGCTCATAATCTGTATCATTAATTAAAACATTTAAATCCTTTATTTGAGTGTTCACGATTAAATTCTTTCATGCAAAAATTCTCCTAAGAATAAATGCATTCTCACAGTCAGTATACTGTATTTTTATTTAAGTAATTAAACAGACATATACCTATAGTAACACTTATATAATCCCAAGTGTAACTAGATAAATAAAATCCCTTGCCATAAAATCCATTTGGAAAAGGAATATTATGGGACATATTTTAAAAAAACACTGACAGTTTTCTGCAGCAGTGCCTTTCCTGCCAAAAGGTCATATTTAAGGCCTTTATGAAGTAACTAGCTGTAAAATTCCTTAAGTCAAGCAGATGAAAAGAAACACTTTTATTTCTTTGTGTTTACTTTGCATCACTAGGTAGGAATGTTTGGTATTAAAATTATATCACAGTTTAGTTCACAGGTTTTCCCTACCAAAAATGGTGAGGTTTTGTTGACCACAAATACCAGTGATAGGTCAGTAAACCTTTAAGTGTAAGGAGCAATAATTCCTCAAAACAAACACATCAGACAGTAGGATGATTTATAATTATTTCAGATAGATTTCCATTAGCTTTTAATACAAACAAACTTCAGTCTTCTATTTAAAATTACAGGACCATAACAGGACTGTAAGTGATACTATCATACAATTTACATGTGATATAAATACATTTTTTCTGGATGTAAGAATTCCCAAAATAAAAAAAATACTGAATTTCATGTATGACTGTTAATTAGACAGAGACTGAAATGCATAACATAGGTATCTTCTGTTGGGTATTCCTAAACACTTCCAAAAAATGTACCTAGATACTGCAACAACAGTCTGGTATAAACCTAAAACAAACTACAAATGACAGAAGTTTCTGAAGTGAAGCATTCCTTTATACTGGTGACCTGAAATTCCGAAGAACTAGCTGTTACACTTGAGCTCACTGTTCAGATATGATTTGTGAAATCCTAAGAGAGGGTTGTAGCTTCCCTCATGAGCTGAAGCTTTCAGAAATTAAGGGACTAAGCATGCAGCAATCCATTCTTCTGTACTTGTGTAACTCAGGTACCTCAAGAATTATTGCATACTGCAAAGACTGTGTGCCCAGGTCACCATTTATCATTCATTACGATAATGACAGACACCTGTTACATTTTATTATGCAAAATTGTGACCTTCAGCTCTTGACAAATTATCATCCAGCCTTGAAAGGGACACATTTTAAGTGGCCTTGACAAACCTTATACATATAATATAACACAAACTGATCCATGCTTTTGAGAAAATTAATTCCTAACCTGTAATGATACCTCTTGCTTACATTTCCCAAACAGTAATACCCCTCTGCCAAATGACAGAAAAATACACCAGTAAGAATATTAGCTATGCAGTGACTAAGAAAAGCAGTTTAATTAGATATTTTTTGCATTTTCATTGTAGCTTTAAGCAGCAGATGTCTTGCAACCTAAATTCTGACAATTCAAATTAGCATCAATATAGTGATGAATTATTCAACAATAATAAAATAATTGAGCAACTTACCCACACAATTCCTTCCAGAAGGATCAGGCTCATAGCCACTGTTACAGTTACAACGATAGCTGCCACGTAAGTTTTCACAAATTCCATTGGAGCAAATATCAGGATCCAATGCACACTCATTAATATCTGTATTAACACAACACAGAAGATAACCAGATACTGAAATATATGACAAACCTGATCTTGTGATAGATGTGGACAACATCAGATTCACAAGACTCCGGGGTCGTCATTCATAGAGTATATAGCAAGGGCACAGCAAGAAGGCTGAAAGATGTGATTATTCCCCTCTACCAGACACTACTGAGGCCAAACCTGGAATACTGTGTCCAGTTTTGGGGCACTTCATGACCTTCACGTGGCCCCACTCCTCAAGCCTGTCAACGCCCCTCTGGATGGTATCTCTCGCCTCTAGCGAATTAATTGCACCACTCATCTGGAAACTCGCTGAGGGTGCACTCAATCCTAACACCTATGTCACTGAAGAAGACATTAAACAGTATTCGTCCTAGTATGGACCCTTGAGGTACACCACTTGTTACTGCTTTCCTTTTGGACATTGAGTTGCTGACCATAACTCTCTCCACACAACCATCCAGCCAATCCCTTATCTAACAGTCCATCCATCAAACCCATCTATCTCCAATTTAGTGGAGAAAGAAGAATGTAGTGGGGGAACTGTATTAAGGGCCTTACAGAAGTCAAGGTAGATGATATATGTAGCTCTTCTCTTGTCCACTGGTGCATTCACTAGATTCTAATACTTCTAGATTAGTCAGGCATGATGTGCCCTTGGTGAAGCCATGTTGGCTCTCTCTCATCACCTCTGTCTTCCAAGTTTTGACATAACCTCCACAAGGATCTGCTCCATGATCTTACTGTGCACTGAGGTGAGGGTGACTGGTCAGTAGTTCCCAGGGTCCTCCTTCTTACCCTTTTTTAAAAATGGGTGTGATATACCCTTTCCTGCACTCACTGAGGACTTTGCCCGATTGACATTTTTCAAATATCATGGAGAGTGGTTTAACAACTACGTCAGCCAGTTCCCTCAGGACCCTGGGGTGTATCTTGTCAGGTCTCACGGACTTGTGTATGCTAAGGTTCCTTGAGTGCTCTGGAACCCGATCTTCTCCTATGATGCAGGGACTCTATTCCCCCAATCCCTGCCTTGATGTTCAGAGACTTGAGAGATACTGGAAGAGCAATTACCAGTGTAAACTCAGGCAAAAAACTTGTTGAGTACCCCAGCTTTCTACATGTTGGTTGTCACTAATTCTCCTGCCTTATTTATTGTGTTTGTGTGTTCTGCATACATTTTCTTGTAATCTTCCTTTTCTGACCAATGTACTTGTAGAAGTCTTCCATATTGTTCGCATTCCTTGTCAAATGCAGCTCCAGCTGTGCCCTAGCTTTCCTGATCCCATGCCTGCACATCTAGGCAGCATCTGTGTATTCTTTCCAGGACACGTGTCCCTGGTTACAATGCCTATGAATTTCCTTCTCACACTTTAGTTTGACCAGCAGGTCCTTACTCAGCCATGCTGATCTCCTGCCTTCCTTGCCTGTTTCTTACATGTGGAAATCAAGAGTTCTTGTGATCTAAGAAAAATGTCCTTAAAGAGCTGCCAGCTCTGTTCTGCTCTGTCCCTGAGGGCAGTTTCCCAGGGACCCTATCCACTAATTCCTTATACAACTGAAAGTTCACCCTCCTAAAATTCAGGGTCTTGGCCTTACTCTCCACCTGGCCCATATCTGTCAAGATCATGAGTTCCACCAGGCCATGATCACTGCAGCCCAGGCTGCCATCAGTGTTGACCTTACTAATTAGTTCATCTGTTTTGGTAAACAACGGGTCCAGTAAAGCTTCTCCTCTGGTTAGGCTGTCTATCACCTGGATTAAGAAATTATCCTCAGTGTACTCCAAGATTCTCCTGGACTACATACAGCCTGCTGTGCTGCTTTTCCAGGAGATGTCAGGGTGACTGAAGTTGCCTAGCAGGATCAGTGTCTGAGTTATGAGAAGAGGCTGAAGGAACTGGACTTGCTTAGCCAGCAAGAGGGAAGATGACAGGGACATCTAATAGCAGTTCTCTGATCTTAATAGACGGTTAGAAAGAAGATGGAGTTAGACTCTTCTTTGAGGTACACGACAGGGTAAGAGACAACAGTTACAAGTTACAACAGGGGAAATTTTAACTGAACAGCAGGAAAACAATTCTTCCCCATGAGAGTGGTTAAGCACTAGAGCAAGCTGCCCAGAGAGGCTATGGGAACCCCGTCCTTGGGGATTTTCCAAACTCTACTGGGAAAGGCCCTGAGAAACCTGATTCAACTTTGTAGTTGTCCTGGCTCTGAGCAGAAGGTTAGGTTGGATGATGTCCAGATATCCTTTCTAACCTTAATCAATAGGGAACGATGTGCTTGTAAGAACACCTTGATGCAAAATATCTAGCCTGTGCACTCAGTGCCTGTGGTCTAAGGATCTAGGTAAGAAGTTATAAATTATTAGGTGACACAAATACTTTTCCTAATACAGGACTAACGCATAGGTCAATACCACAGCATACTCAGTCTTACAGAAATTATAGCACTTTTTTGATATTTAATTTTTTTCTCAGATTGACAAAATAGGATGATGAATGAGACACATTCCCTGAGTTTAGAGTCCCATATAGAGTTTCTGCTGTAGTTGGAAAATTCCAAAATATTCACATGAACTATAAGAGCAGGAACAGGCTAGTTTTAATACTTCTTCCCTCTGAGGAAAAAAAGGTTTTTCAATATTATTTCTTTCCATACGGTAAGCCCATTACTTTCAATAGTTCCCTTTCCAAATCCTGGAAAGAACAGCAGGGGTATTGGCCTAGCTGTGACTTCATAAAAACCTTGTTTTATACTTGTACTGCTCATTTTTTTCTAAAGAACATTTCCTCTTTAATCATAGTGCAGTTTAGATCATTATTTACTTATACTCAGATACACATTTGGAACAACCATGCTATCCCTGGATTACACTCAAAGCTATGAGACATCTTAAAATTTCATAGGAAAATATGAATTAGCATAATATTTCAGCTTTATGTATTTTTTTGAGTAAAAAGTAGTTTAGCAAACTTGTTTGTATCTTGGGGACAAGGCATGCAATTTCACGACTCTCTCTCCCCTTATCAAATCAATTATTTCAGACGGCCCAGCTCTTCCTGTTGCTTTTTATATTAAACCAGACTGCAAAATTTCTGTCCTCACCTATGTCCAGATTTCTCTCAAATGAAGACATGAAGCTTTTGCATTTGTTAATCACAAGCTGAATGAAAAGAGTAAGCATGTGGTGATGGACTGCAGTCTAAGCTATGCGTCAACTAAAAGATAAAAAAAATCTCTATGACAAGAGCTTCACTGATAAATTGTAATCCCACTCTTGATAATGAGAATGTGAGGAACACAACAGAATTTTTATTAGGCATCAGTATTCCTCTCCTTTAGGAAAAGAAATTGTCAAAGTCCCTTGGTATAAGCAGTGGTCAGAGTAGCAGCAAGAAAATTGTCTGCAAGGTCACTGCACAAGATGTAAGGAAAATACCAGGGTTTTCTTTAGAAACCTAAACAAAAAGGAATTTTAGTTGACACATGAACTCCTGAGAGATTATAGTCTTTACCATGCAGTTGGTAGAGACCGTAACTGGTCTTATGTCTGTGGTGAGAAATTGTATTTTGCATGTATCCAACATATAACCTCCCTACTAGACTACATGTAAATTCTTATGGTAGGATGCTGTTTGTACCATAATAATATTATGGTACACTGCCATTATTTCTCCATGAAATTTTGAGATTCTACAAATGGACCTTATATAATTCTCTGAAAAGAAAAGTCAGAGAATTTACAAACTCCATGGATTTCAAATTACTTGTAAGTTTGGCAACATGTTAAGCAATGAGGTCATAGACAAGAAAAAAATATGTATCTACACTTACAGTACTGAACAGAAACAGTATTTCTTTTATTATAGTACTATTTTTAAAAGTTATGTAGGCAGTTAGCAAGTCTAATGATCAAAGGGTCTCATTCTGTTCCTGCTGTACTGAGCATGACCTTTAATGCTGACAAGGATAAAAGTTATAGAAATTAAATGCCTGGAAATATTAAATGTACCGTATCTGGTTTAATTTGGTTGCAACTTCACTAACTCATCAGGGAACCATCTTGCAACAAATCACAATATTGTGTTCCACCATTCCTTCTTCAACCCACTCTACTTATTTGCCAGCTGCAGAACACATCGCCCCTACTTCAGGCCTGGGTCAGCTATTATTTTTAAAATCCCTCTCTCTGTGGTGCTAGAAAAAGGAGCTGGAGCTTTACAGTTCCCAGTACAAAAGCAAGTGCTCACTTTTAGGACTTCTTTTAGGAGGAACTTTTTTAGTAAGGTCCCTTCCAACTCTAACTCACCAGAGAAATGATCCCTCCATGGAAAAAGTCCATGTAGTGAACACTGGATCTGGAGTGAAAAACTGTTCTATTACTATCCCAGCTGACTGAAAATCAACTCCAAATGCAAATAGCTCCTGTCATTCCCCAAATTACAGAGAAATATCTTACACCTATTCTAAAAAAATAAATTATAGGCCAAATTTTTTAAATGGATGACTTTTTTTTATTGTCAAGGTCAGGCAAAATCCAATGCTGTAGAGATTTAATTCTTTACAATTACAATGCCTTTTCTTTAAACAACATTTAATTATTGTACTTCAATAATGAAAATACTAAAATCAACATATTAATCTTGAGGAAAAAAACTCTACCCTAGTATGTTAAAGAAAAATATAATTCTGAGTATATATATATTTTTTTTTTTTAAACTGTGAATCATATACATTAAAGAAAATGTGCAACATACCTCGCCCATCCACAGTAATACCTATTCCACTGCTACACAGGCCATGGAATTCAGCTACTCAATTGAAGTAAGAGATGTTGGGGAAAAAAGAAAACGTTATTTCCAGTGTTTCACCTTATTTAATCCTAAAACAAATTCACCTGGTCTTTTTTCAAAATATTTTTTCTACAATGTAACTAATGAAATGCCAATGTTCACATGAAATAACTATCTATAGATAATACAGCT